CATCCATGAAACCCCGGTTCAAAGGGGGAGACGGGGAAGAGACGGGAAAGGCTGGAGGGAGGAAGGAGTTTGTTGTTCGTTCACTCAAATTGAGGCTTCGGAGCAAAAGATCTCGGGCTCAAGCTTTGAAATTTGGCCCTAAGGCTGAGCTGAACATGTCAGGATAAAGCTGGGTCTAAACTCTCAGGGCTGCAGAGACACTGGACAGAATTAGGGAGGAAAACAAGGTGGGTTTGGGATATAATCACAGCATAAACATCTGTGGGTTTAGGAGGAGCTTCAGGAATCAACTGAGGTCCAACAGTGCTGAACTCTGTGCAGCCAGACTGAGTTTAACCTTTTAAAGCTGGCCCTTAGGCCGAGTTGGAAGTATCAGGATAAAGCTGGGTCTAAACTCTCATGGCTGCAGAGACACCGGACAGAATTAGAGAGGAAAATGTGTTTCTGGGATACAATCACAAACATCTGTGGGTTTAGGAGGAGTTTATCAGGATTTAGGCTGAGCTCAATGCATCAGGGTCGAGCTGGGTCTAAACTCCCGTGGCTGCAGAGACACTGGACAGAATTAGGGAGGAAAACAAGGTGGGTTTGGGATATAATCACAGCACAAACATCTGTGGGTTTAGGAGGAGCTTCAGGAATCAACTGAGGTCCAACAGTGCTGAACTCTGTGTGACCAGACTGAGTTTAACCTTTTAAATTTGGCCCTTAGGCCGAGCTAAAGGTATGGGATAAAGCTGGGTCTAAACTCTCAGGGCTGCAAAGACACTGGACAGAATTAGGGAGGAAAACAAGGTGGTTTTGGGACATCATCACAGCACAAACATCTGTGGGTTTAGGAGGAGTTTATCAGGATTTAGGCTGAGCTCAATGCATCAGGGTCAAGCTGGGTCTAAACTCCTGTGGCTGCAAAGACACTGGACAGAATTAGGGAGGAAAACAAGGCGGGTTTGGGATATAATCACAGCACAAACATCTGTGGGTTTAGGAGGAGTTTATCAGGATTTAGGCTGAGCTCAGTGCATCAGGGTCGAGCTGGGTCTAAACTCTCGTGGCTGCAGAGACACTGGACAGAATTAGGGAGGAAAACAACGTGTTTTACACAGCACAAATATCTGGGGGGTTAGGAGGAGTTTAAAGAGCTGAACTCTGTGTGGCCAGACTGAGCTCAACCTTTGAAATCTGGCCCTCAGGCCGAGCTGGATGTATCAGGATAAAGCTGGGTCTAAACTCTCGTGGCTGCAGAGACACTGGGTAGAATTAGGAAGGAAAATGTGTTTGTGGGATACAATCACAAACATCTGTGGGTTTAGGAGGAGTTTATCAGGATTTAGGCTGAGCTCAATGCATCAGGATTGAGCTGGGTCTAAACTCTCGTGGCTGCAGAGACACTGGACAGAATTAGGGAGGAAAACAAGGTGGTTTTGGGATACAATCACAGCACAAATATCTGGGGGTTTAGGAGGAGTTTAAAGAGCTGAACTCTGCGTGGCCAGACTGAGCTTAACTTTTTAAATCTGGCCCTCAGGCCGAGCTGGATGTACCCGGGTCGAGCTGGGCCTAAACCCCTGTGTCCAAGGCCAGGCTGGACGGGGCTCACGGGAGGTGTCCCTGCCCAGGCCCTGGATGAGCTGAAGGTGCNCCCCCAAAATCCCCCAGACCTTGGACATGGACACCTCCCACTGTCCCAGGTCACTCCTGGGACACTCCAGGGATGGGGCAGCCATGGAATAACCTCTGCCAAGGCCTCTCCATCCTCCCAGGGAAGAACTTATCCCTAAAATCCCATCTGGAATGGTTGGGGTTGGAACCCACCAAGATCCCCCAGACCTTGGACATGGACACCTCCCACTGTTCCAGGTCACTCCTGGGGCACTTCCAGGGATGGGGCAGCCATGGAATAACCTGTGCCAAGGTCTCATCACCCTCCCAGGGAAGAACTTATCCCTAAAATCCCACCTGGAATGGTCTGGGTTGGAATCCACCAAGATCCCCCAGACCTTGGACACGGACACCTCCCACTGTCCCATGGACACCTCCCACTGTCCCAGGTCACTCCTGGGACACTCCCAGGGATGGGGCAGCCATGGAATAACCTCTGCCAAGGTCTCATCACCCTCCCAGGGAAGAACTTATCCCTAAAATCCCACCTGGAATGGTTGGGGTTGGAAGGACCTTGGCCACGGACACCTCCCACTGTCCCAGGTTGCTCCAACCCAGCCTGGGACACTTCCAGGGATGGGGCAGCCATGGAATAACCTGTGCCAAGGTCTCATCACCCTCCCAGGGAAGAACTTATCTCTAATTTCATATCCCACCTGGAATGGTTTGGGTTGGAAGGACCTTCCAGATCCACCTCCCGCTATCCCAGGCCGCTCCAACCCCTCCGGGGACGGCAGAACCCCCTTCCCTCCCCGCTGGAGCTTTACTGGGAGAGCCCCCCCGGCCTTACTGGTCGTCAGTCTCGATGGTTCCCCCTCTCCTGGCCTCTCCCTGGATGGATTCCATGGCCGTGGAATACAGGGCCTTCTGCGCCGCCGGGCGCCGCGTGTCCGCCGGGGCCGCGCCGTCGGCCAGGCCCTGCTCCCGCTGCGCCAGGTCCATGTTGTGGATGGCCACCAGCAGGCTGTAGTCCATGATCTTGAAGCTCTGCAGGACCTGGGGGGGAAAGGCAGGGACTCTCTGATTCTGTGATTGTATAATTCTGTGATTGTATAATTCTGTGATTGTATAATTCTGTGATTCTATAATTCTATGATTCTATGATTCCATGATTCCATGATTCTATGATTCTATAATTCCATGATTCTATGATTCTATGATTCCATGATTGTATGATTCTATGATTCTATGATTCTATTATTCTATAATTCTATGATTCTGTGATTCTGTGATTCTGTGATTCTATGATTCTATTATTCTATATTTCTATAATTCTATGATTCCATGATTCTATGATTCCATGATTCTATAATTCTATGATTCTATAATTCTGTGATTCTATAATTCTGTGATTCTATGATTCTGTGATTCTATGATTCTGTGATTCTATAATTCTATGATTCTATAATTCTATGATTCCATGATTCTATAATTCTATGATTCTATGATTCTATGATTCCATGATTCTATAATTCCATGATTCTGTGATTCTATAATTCTATGATTCCATGATTCCATGATTCCATGATTCTATGATTCTATGAATCCGTGATTCTATGATTCTATGATTCTATCATTCCATAATTCTATGATTCCATAATTCTATGATTCCATAATTCTATGATTCTATGGTTCTCTGATTCCATGATTCCATGATTCCATGATTCCATGATTCTATGATTCAATGGTTCTATAATTCTGTAATTCTATGGTTCCATGGTTCTGTGATTCTCTGCTCCCTGCCCTCCTCTCCAGAGACGGAAGGTTGCAAACACAGACAAAACCAGAGCGCAGCTCCTCCTTTTCGGCCACACCACCCCAAAACCTCCACGTTCTCCCAAATCCAAGGCAGAGCCACCACCTCCTTCCCAGGGAAAGGGCTGAAAACCCAGGAAATCTCTCCCCCCCTCCAGCTCACCAGGCAGTCCCTCTGCAGCGTCTTGCACAGGGCGTTGTACATGTCCGAGTCCAGGAAGAGCCCGTCGGGGATGTCCTGCATGAAATCCAGGTCCTTGTAGGTGGGGAAGACCTTCTCCCTCTCCTTTTGGGAGGCCCTGCGCTTGTAGGTGGAGCCCTTGAGGTCGTACTTGAGGTGCATCTTCACCGAGCGGGGCAGGAGGTTGTTCATCACCACGATCCGGATGTTCTTCCCGCCCGCCTGGACGCAGTAGAGCCCGTAAAACTTGGGAAGGAGCGTCCGGGGGTTCTGGTTCAGGTTCTGGAAGGCCAAAGACAGGGAGAGGAATCGTGGAAGCCATCCATGAAACCCTGGTTCAAAGGGGAAGACGGGGAAGAGACGGGAAAGGCTGGAGGGAGGAAGGAGTTTGTTGTTCGTTC